CTGCCTCTGCCCTGATCATCAAAGCCCTCAAGGAGCCACCAAGAGACAGAAAGAAGCAGAAAAACATTAAACACAGCAGAAATATCACTTTTGATGAGATTGTCAACACTGCCCGACAGATGCAGCACTGGTCTTTAGCCAGAGAACTTCCCAGAACCATTAATGAGATCCTGGGGACCACCCAGTCGGTGGACAGCAGGTACCCTCATGACATCATAGATGACATCAACAACGGCATTGTCGAGTGTCCAGCAAGCTAAGAAGCATAAGAAAATGTATCAATAAAGAGATGATCTGACCAAAAAAATAATATTTATACACAATGGAGTACTACTCTGCCATAACGAGAAATAAATGACTTATCTGTAGGAAAATGGATGACCTTGATATGTATGTCAGACACAAGCATAAATACCACACGGTTTCTCTCATATGAGAAACCCAAATTATAAATAAAGAGAAAAATGAAAGATAGGTAATAAGAAGTAGGGAGGTCGATCTTTCTCAAACGGGAAGAAAATCGAGATGGAAGAGTAAGGAACAAAGAAAAAGCGATGAGAAAAAGAATCAAGATGTACCAACTCCCCACTGTTATGGGTTCTCAAACAGAGGCCAAACCAGAGTCCAAATTGAGAATTTAAACTGAGCCTTTAATACCAAGCTGGGGGCCTTCCTGACTTCTACTCACGCAGGAAAGAAGACAGAGAAGCAAGCCCTGTGACAGAAAACAGGGTTCTTAAACAGAAACTACTCTCTACTTAGCACGTATACATATTTTAAAATTAATCATTTATAACCTACCAACCCATAGAGGCACAATTCACAGGTTAACCTGACAATAGAGTGAGCACAATATCCAGATAAATCATTAGCTACATTCCTACAAGGACGGACAGGCAGTCAGGTCTAAACTTAATTGTCACCTAGTATATAGAGGCTGATTGTCTTAGGCACATACACATTAACATGAATCACTCTGACTTAGGTTACTACAATTTAACACATCCTGAGGTTATTAGCCTTTAAGCTACACAAATACTATGTCCTGTTTGCTAACGGCAGTTATAAAAAGAACTCATCAGTCTTAGGAGGAATTCCCCAGACATGAGGGCTTAAGGCTGTAATTTTTAAGCTAATGAGTAGTCTTGTGCACCCTGTTACTAATTTGCAGAAAATGACCTCAATGAGTTCAAAATCCAAGTAACCCATTACGCCCACAGGAATATAAACATTATGTACGGCAAACACATACTAATTTTAAAAGAGAAAACATAACCAAACTGGTCTTAACATCCATTATAAACTACAGCAGGCTGTCTAATCTTGAACACTAATGTAACATTTAACACATTGTCTTTTTCCTAAATGTACGCTTGAATTAACAACCTCATATAATTCACTGAGAAAATAAAGTTTTCGGCTCTGAGATAATAAGTTGCGAGGGCAGGACCTAGAATTAAACTAAAACCAAGTCCTAAAATGGAACAAATCTCAGAAAGCCAATTGCGCTCCACTGCGAAGTTCCGCCTCTCTCCGAACCCCGCCCACTTCCGGCTGCACCGCCCACCTTCTCACGCTCAGCCCCGCCCCCGAGAGGTCCCGCCCCCACAGCTGACCCCGACTCCCATTGGGCAAATCCTGACGCTGTACACACACCGACACACGCACGTTGGCCCTGGCGTCTTCGCGCCTGCGCAGCGGCGCCGTCCGGCGGCTGGAAGCTGGGGTTCTAGGGGGAGGGGGTGGAGGTCAGGCCGAATCTTGCTCCGTAATAAGAAGCGACCCGTCCCGCGGTCCTGGCTCCGAGGGTCTGGTCGGGTGGGGCCTTGGCGCCGGAGCTGCTGTGGCTCCCGCCGCGGCGGTGCGATGGAGGCCGTGCCGGAGCCCAGCGCTTGCGCCGGGGGAGGCCGAGGCAGCCGGCGGTGCTAGCAGATGAAGCGGCGGTGGCGGCCCGGGCTCTCCATGAGCAAGCGGCGGCGGCGACGGGTGCGGCGGCACCGGCGGTTCTCGGTCCCCGGGGAGGTACGGGGAGTCGGCTTCCTGGGGGACTGAGGCCGGCCTGTGCGGGGGCGCCCGAGATCGGGCCGAGCCTCGCGGGGGCGGGCGCGGGGCTGCAGGACGGTGTCCCCGCGCGCCCTCCGAGGCCTGCGCGCCCGCGGCGCAGAGCAGCCTTGGGGGCTGGGGGCGGGCGAGGCTCTGGCCTTCGGTGCCTGGGCCACCCCGGACAGTGATAATCGGGAAAGGTGTCCTTTTATCGAGGAAACAGCCGGGGCATCGCCCAGATCTCCCCCAGGTGGAGGCCCTGTTGCTGCAGGGAAGTCCGGCCGCCGGCTGGTTCCCGGCGCCTCCTGCACCGCGCCCGGCAGCAGCCGGCCCCACGATGTGGAGGCGAAGACTTAAGCCAGTTTTAGGAAGAACCGCGTCCGGATGGAGCTCGCTCTCGGTTTGCCGCCTCCTCCAATTTTTATAGGAAATATCACTGAGTTAATGCTGAAAGTACATTAGGTGTCATCTAGTTCTTCCAGCCCTCCTCTGAAGTTAGCTTTGTGCCATATTGTCTTGGATTATATCTGTGGCTTTGCGTTTACCTTCATTTGGTCATGTCTAAGAGATAATTTGAAGAAAAATGCTAGAAAGTTACTTACTCTTCCCTTCCAGTCCATATTTAGGAATCGGAATTGAAGCCCTTTTAGCAGTCTTGAACCTTACTGCAAGGTTCTTTAAAAGCTTACAGCAGAACTCAACCCATGAAGAAAGGTCTTTTTACTTCTGAAATATTTAAACGGCTTATGACTTTAAAATTTAAATGACACGGGTCGGTTTCTGTTGAGTGAGCTTGTTTTCCTAGGCTTCGGGTTTGCCACACCCTGTAAGTGGTTGACTGAAGCCAGCGTGTTAGCTGGTGATACGTAAATGGCTCCAGTTCAGACTAAATATAGTGTCGAATATTTGGGGCCTTGCTTCGAGGAGAAACACTGCACATGTGAGTTTAATATTGTGGAAGCAAAATCCATCTACTGTTTGTTGCAGAAGTTTTCAACTTAGTTTTTATGCAAAACTCATGGGCTTATGTGGCTCTAGAGAAGATGGTCAAAACAAGAGGCTTCAGTCCCTTTCTCCAGTGCTTCCCTTTTTCCCCAAAAATACATTTTTTGTAAAAGTGACATTGGAAAAATAATAGATTTTTGGTTTATACGTTTAACTCAAATCAAGTGAAGCTCAGTAAACCTGGACTTTTCAATACAGTTTTTCAGGGAGTTTTAATTTTGTTTCATATAACACACATGACATGACTTGTTTTGTTTTTAATACTCCCGTGGCTTTTAAAATAATGTTTTAGCTCTCCTCAAGGGTAAGGGAAGGCAAGGCTGGGGATATAGCTTAGCGGTGTAAGTGCTTCACTGGCAAGCACAAGGTCTTGAGTTCAATCCCTGGTACCAAAAAAAAGAGGTTAAGAGGACAATATTTCCATTTACTCAAAAATCATGGGGAAGGAAAAATCAGGGTACTTATTAAGTCCCAAATCAGATTTTCATAGCATGTCATCTATAAGTAAAAATACAGGATGTCTAACCCAATTCTAAGTTGCAAAATCCTAAAGTGAAAAGAAATAACTGGCAATGTCACTATTTAGCAACAGGCTCATGATTACTCCACAAGTGTTGGAAAATAATAGGTTTTTGGTTTATTCAGAGTTAGATGCCAGAACTGGTCTGCATCTGTAGCAATAGGTGCTATTACTACATGCACTATAACTATACAAATATACTGTTTGTGTACTGTATGTATGTGGTATAATTAACATGAAGGCCACTACTGTATTTCTTTTTTTGTTTGTTTGTTTGTTTGTTTGTTGTTTGATACAAGGTCTCACTACCCAGCTCAGCCTCCTAGTGATCCTTCTGTCTCAGCCTCCCCAGTGCTGGGATTATAGGCATACACCACCAAGCCTGGTTTCAGTGGCTGGCAGGATGTACCCAGCTTGGCCTGTGGTCCCTGGGATCAAACCCATATCCTTGCGCTTGCCAAGCAGACACTTAAATCACTGAGCTACCTCCCCAGCCAAGTCCACTATAAATAGCTACTATTCTCCACCCCAAATTAAGTATCCCTTTATATCAGTTTCTTAAGTGGAGCCACCTATAGTAACAAAATGAAGCACAGCTAGTATTTTGGAGGGAGGGAGAAAAAAACAGGAATACATAAAAACAAACTTATTTTGTATCCTTGAAATCTTTTCTTAGGATTTATTATTTACAGGTAAATATCTGTTCTGTAGTTAATCTATAGACCTATCAAATGAGGATTCTGTATCTCAAAAGAAGTTTTGTCCAAAAAAAAAACTGCTTTTTTTATTACATTGAGAGCTTACAACCTGTTTAGGTTGATTTTGTTTTTTTAGACGTACCCTCATGCATTTACATGTTGTATTTTAAACTTTTAAAATGCAGGATGAAGACACTGTTTGAAGAGATCAAAGCATCAATTAAAAATAATTATAACCAAGATCGATCATTTTGGAGGCCTGTTCTTCCGTGGGGAGGAGTTTTTACTATCAAAGCTGGCCGCAAAGCAGTGTCCTGTACCCCGCTCTATGTTGAAATAAGACTGAAAAATACCTGCACCATAGATGGATTTCTGATGTTGTTGTATGTCATTCTTAATGAAAATGAGAATTTCCCCAGGGAGCTCTCTCTTCATTTTGGTAGAGAGTTTGTAGACTGTTTTCTTTATTTAATGGACACATATAGTTTTACAACCGTGAAGCTACTTTGGATTTGGGACAAGATGGAAAAGCAGCAATACAAATCTGAAGTTTATAAAGCTTCATTAGTAATTGATCTGTTTGGGAATGAGCATGATAATTTTACAAAAAATCTTGAAAATCTCATGTCTACCATCCAAGAAAGTTACTGTTCCAACTGGCGGTGCCCGACAAGAGTACAGGAAGATCAGCAGCGCACGATCAATATAAAGTAAGTTGCCCTAAAGTCTGTCTCCTAGTGTGAATTTCTTTTCAGTGAACATTGCTTTCAGCCAAAAATATGTATATACAAACCAAGTGATAACCTTTCACTAGTAAAATACTGGAATTACTCCATGTGCAATGTTTTCTTCTGTGTTTGCTAATATGACTGCTGTAATTTTTTGCTCTATGAGTTTAACCTCTGAAAAAACACTTCAGGGCTTTGGAGTATTTTGCCCTCTGAATGAGTCTCTTTTGGGAAGGCCAGGTCATAACTGTAGCCAGAAACCCAAGTCTGGTACTCCCTACCTGGAACGCGAGGATGCCAGGAGCTTTTACACTGCTGGGAAAGCGCTGGAAGCCAGCGGTGGTTTGGGCTTCCCAGAGAAGGCAGTCCTCCAAGCTGGCAAATGACAGCGACAGAGGCCAAACTGGCAAGGCCTGTGGAGTGTCGGGCACTGTTTTTTTTTTTTTTTTTTTTTTTTATAATTTAGAACTACCTTTTTAAATATTTATTTATTTTTATTTATTACATTTATTTATTGTGTGTGTGTGTGGCCAGCTCAGCCCACCAG